AAACCAGAATTTATCGATTAAAAACAGCAAAGTATTACGTGCAAGTCCTCAAAGACAGGAGCTGCATTCCTCTCATTCGTTCGTTTCGGGCAAGGAACAGGGTAGCAACCGCATTGCGGACATAGATGACGAGCATGCTTATCTGCAAATTGTAAACACTGCTTTGTATTGTTTAATTTCGGTGATGTCAAGTAAGGCGGACTAACGTCTTCGATTATTTCATTATCAGGCAAATACAATAATATAAGGGAAGGTAGATTTAACAAAAGTTTAAGCAACCAATCAGTAGTAATTAGGGGAAGTAGGAGAGGTGTTAAGTGATCAGCGAGGGTCAGCTTCTAGTCATAATTAGGGAGCAGAGAGGGAAAAGGGGGAGGGGTCCGACAACTAGTTTATGTCGCCCCGTCGTCCTTGTTTTGCGTTTTGTTGGGAAGCGTGATGACGCAAGGTGTCATCGCCTTGTTATCGCTGTATCCTCGCGTTTCGCGTCTCGCGGCTTGGTAGGAAGCGCGTTGACATATGCTGAATTGGTCTTCGGCCACGGGAACCTAATTATGACTATAATCTGACCCCCTTTAAGCCCTTAACACTCCAATCCCCCCCCTAATTATTACTGATTGGTTGCTTACACTTTTGGCAACTCTACTCTCCCTTATATTATTGTATTTGCCTGATGGTGAATTAATCGCAAATGGTCGTTTGCTTAACTTGGCTTCCTGACTGCTTTGTATGATGGAACTATTCCATAAATTAAATGGTCGCTTCACGTGTCCGAATGTAATCAGTCTAATGGAATGGATATTCCGGCGCATATTCTGATGGCTTAGCGAAGTTGGATTTTTCTAGTTCAGAATTGCGAAAATTCCCATTTAAATGTCTTAAGAGGACCGTATGGCGGGTGGACATTTTTTTCGTTAAATATTCATCAAGCCAGATACAAATTGAACCACCCTCGTTTTGCTTCAGATATTGCAGGTCTACGAGCCTTCCAGACTGTCTTGCGGAGATTAGCAGTTATCATTCGCGTGTGGCAGAGCCGGTGTGTTTATTGACACAATGGGCCCGGTAGTAATAAGTTTAATGAGTGACATCGCTCGAAATGTATTTTAATTGCTTGGCAGACATCTCCATTGCAAAGTTTCGAAA